GGAACTCCCAAAGGAACAACTGCAGAGTGACTGCCATTAGTGCCGCCGCCACCACCCCTACTAGTGTACCACTCACGTAGCTGCTGTGTAAGGGACTCGCGCTGACGCTGCTGTAGCCGCATCTGGCCACCGCCAGAAACTCCCCACCGAACAGCTCCACAGCGACTGCTAGGACGGCCGCCACCACCCCCACTGCCGCCACCACCGCTGTCACCACTCCCACCGCTACAATGAAGAGAAGTCATAGCGGGCAAGCGAGGCGGCGTGCGGGGCAGCAGGGGCTGCGAGAGGGGCGGCAGTAGGAGCAGCAGGAGCAGCAGTAGCAGTAGGGGCCTTGGGGCCGAGGGGCCAAAAACGAGGGTGGCGGGGCCGAGGGGCCAAGGGGCCGAGGGGCCAAGGGTCCTAGGGGCCGAGGGGCCGAGGGGACTAGGGGCCGATGGGCCAAGGGGCCTAGGGGCCGAGGGGCCGAGGGGCCGAGGGGCGGGGCTGAGGGGCCAAACATGAGGCCGAGGGGCCAAACACGAGGCCGAGGGGCCAAGGGGCCTAGGGGCCGAGGGGTGGGGCCGAGGGGCCTAGGGGCCGAGGGGCCAAACACGAGGGTGGGGGCCGAGGGGCCAAGGAGTCACGGGGCACCGGGGCCGCTGCTAGGGGCCGAGGGGCCAAACACGAGGGGCCACAGGGCCGAGGGGCCAAGGGGCGAGGGGCCGAGGTGCCTGTTGCCTAGGGGCGAGGGGCCGAGGGGCCAAAGGGCCGAGGGGCCAAGGGGCCGAGGGCCCGAGGGGCCGAGGTGCCTGGGGGGCCAAGGGGCCAAGGGGCCGAGGGGCCGAGGGGCGACAGGCCGCGGGGCCAGGTACACAGGGGGCCGAGGGGCCGAGGCTAGGGGCCGAGGGGCCTGGGGGCCGAGGTGCCTAGGGGCCGAGGGGCCTTGGTGCCTAGGGACGAGGGGCCGAGGGGCCTTGTTGCCGAGGGGCTAGGGGCCGAGGGGCCAAACAGGAGGGGCCACAGGGCCGAGGGGCCAAGGGGCCGAGGGGCCGAGGGGCCGAGGGGCCGAGGGGCCGAGGGGCCGAGGGGCCGAGGTGCCTGGGGGTCAGAACCGGGGCCTTGGGGCGCGAGGGGCCTAGGGGTGTGACGTGCCTAGGGGCACGACGGGCGAAGGGGGGGGGGCGGGGCCTAGGGGCGAAGGGGCCGAGGGGCGCGACGGGTCAAGGGGCCGGGGTCTAGGGGCGTAGGGGCCGTGGGGCGCGACGGGCGAAGGGGCCGGGCCCTGGGGTCGAAGGGGCCTAGGGGCGCGACGGGCCAAGGGGCCGGGGCCTAGGGGCGAAGGGGCCGTGGGGTGGCGCGACGGGCCTAAGGGGCGCGACAGGCCAAGGGGTCGGGGCCGAGGGGCGAAGGGGCCGAGGGGCGCGACGGGCAAAGGGGCCGTGGGATGGCGCGACTGGCCTAAGGGGCGCGACGGGCCTAGGGGCGCGACGGGCGAAGGGGCCGTGAGGTGGCGCGACTGGCCTAAGAGGCGCGACGGGCCTAGGGGTGCGACGGGTGAAGGGGCCGTGAGGTGGCGCGACGGGCCCAAGGGGCGCGACGGGCCTAGGGGCGCGACGGGCCAAGGGGCCGGGGCCGTGAGGTGGCGCGACGGGCCTAAGGGGCGCGACGGGCCTAGGGGCGCGACGGGCCAAGGGGCCGGGGCCTAGGGGCGAAGGGGCCGTGGGGTGGCGCGACGGGCCTAAGTGGCGCGACGGGCCTAGGGGCAAAGGGGCCGAGGGGCGCGACGGGCCAAGGGGCTAGGGCCAAGGGGGGTACTAGCAGCGCAGCAGGTGGTGGGCCCAAGGAATCTGCTCTGATTCCATGTCAAGATTACAAACGAGAATGAAATGAACTAGTAGCAGGATGAGTACAAGTACTAGCCCTGAGTTTTGTTGTACCCCATATGGGCTACCCCACTACAGACTACACAATGTGCAGCATATAAGTTTGACAATTCACACACTATTATAAGCATGAAATATATATATTATCTCATGCTCTCATACCACTCCATGCACAGACGCATGCACGCACACGGACAACAAGCCGAATGCAAACCGTAGGGTTGCACCAACAAGCGGTACCCCGTGGGGCTGATCGAAGAGCCAAGTGGAGGAGCGGGGCTGAAATCTGTGGATAAGAGTCTGGGGTGAAGGTGGCTATCCATTAAGGAAGAGGCCGTGGGGCAGGTAGATGCTTGGAAGAGAGAGAACAGATTGTTTCAAGTGAAGGGGGTGCAAACTCCCCAGCTTCCAAGGCTGCCAAGGAGTGAGACCAGACGCCGCGCTTGGCAAACCGCGCTGCACGATGGAGGCATGCCTAGGTAGCTTTTGAGCGGGCTGAAGCAAGGTTTGGAGGACGAGCAGCAGGGGTGGCAGCGGCATAGGCTTCAAGGAAAAGCGCGTGCCAATCCCCACTGATAAAGCGTTGAGCGAGAAGGGCGCATGCTGCGGTAAGCGATTGCGAAGGGGCAGGTGCAGTTGAGCGGAGGACGAAGCGCGGGAACGTAAGCAATATAAGGTGCGCAGCAGTGTTAGAAGGATGTTGTGCAAGCCGTCGAAGAGGGATAAGCAAGCCATCAAGCACGAGAAGGCGAATGCGAGGAGGAATGCGGCGAATGATAGGTCCGGGAGAAAATGCCGGGCTGAAAAAAACAGGCTAATTCCACGCAAGGACAGCATCCTCGGTGGCGGAAGGGATTTCTAGCGGAGAGGAGGACTGTGTAGTTGCATTTTTAGCGCGAGTAGGGGCGGGGCGAGGAGGAGGACACGCAGCTTGCTGTCTCGTAGTAGAGTTGTGTTGGCAGGAGGTGGTATGGCGAGCCAATGCACCAATATTGGCGCAAGTACGATGGCATATAGGGCAAGCAAGAGAACGCGCAGCATGCGGAGGATTGGTGGGGGGAGGTCCGGGAATGGAAGTGATAGGGGGCTGGGGAAGGGTGGGGGAAGGCGGAGGAACATCGGTGTAATGCGACAGAGGGTGTTGATCGTCAGGTGCGGCATCTGGGGTGGCGTGGCCTGTTGAGTGAACGTATTGAGCAGAGTAAGAGGTAGAGTGAGTCGTTGAAGGTTGGGGTCGTAGTGCCAAAGCCATGGTGTCTGTGATGACATGGTGAAGGACCTCCTTCTGTTTCTGGGAGACAAGAGGACCTAACGTGAGGACGAGAGCTGTGTTGAGGAGAAGCAGGAGACGGGGGTTGCAGTGAGGTTGGCTGTTGGTTGGAAGAAGAGGGTGGCGATGAGGGTAGAGGGGGAGGAACATGGATTTTAGCGAAAGGAGGGGTAGGACGTGAACGAGATGTGGACGAAGACGAAACTGCTTCAGCGAGGTCCGGAGGCCAGATTCTCTTGCGGGAAGTCATGGCTGATCGTAATGGGAATTAAAGTTTAGTGTGTAGAAGTAAGCGGAAGATGTGGTAGGCTGGAAACGTGGGAGCAGCTGCGGGGGAAGATGCGCCGCTCTCGAAAATTGAAACTACACGTACGCAACACCTAAGGGTTTAGGGTTCAAGCACACCCGAGCACGAAAGACTGAGCCAAGTCCTATGGAGGGCAGCCGCGTCCTGATCTAGGGAAACATGTCGTAACGCCAGTCGGGCTGCGTGATGGGATGGGGTTCGCTGACTTCTGCTGGCAGGGTCGTGCAAGCGAGGCTGGTAGAACAAGTACGTAAGTGGAAGGTCTCCGGTTTTGAGCTGGATATCGCGCTAGGTTAGGAATGGCAAGAAACGTGCTGCTGTGCTACCGAGGTGCAAACGTGCTTGAGGGTATTTAGGAACCGATTGTGTGAGGTTTTCCGCTCCTATACGGTGGGTAGTGAGCTTGTTGCTTCATAGAAGCGCGTATGCAGCAAGGCCAACTACTAGTTTTCGAAAGCTTCAGGGCGTTCTATACTAGCGCGAGCGAGATAGCGTTTTATATTTTCGCTGGTTCCTCGTACGTGCCTGAAACCACACACGTTCAGTTCAGTGTGCTACACAAAGTTTGTGCATATATTCGACTCTTGTTCACATTTGTATGTTCGCACCTGGTACTCTTGAAATTGGAGTCACCATTGGCGAAATCTTCTGCGAACATTGGCGAAACTGGTTACCACCTAAAGTTAGACCTTAAATACGAACCCCAAAAAAAATCACACACGCCCTAAGTGTACCAGGGTCTAAAAAACTGCATGCCACCTATATGTTCACCCTAACTAGTTTTTCTGCCTTTGTAGACAGTCCCCCGAGTCCTACAGCCGGAAGAATAGGGTACTAAGAAAAAGCAAGACGGGGTGTTCCGAGAATTGAACTCGGGACCTCTCGCACCCTAAGCGAGAATCATGCCACTAGACCAAACACCCATGGCTAAACCATTTTATAATTATTATTTGATTTCATAAATATTTTTCTCGTGAATATCGACTTCATCGACTTTTACTAGGCTTCTCCGCGTGTCGCGCCTATGCTTGCCTCCCATTCATCCGTCCCTTCTTTCGGCCTCAATCCAATGGCGTCGTCTAGGGAAAACGAGGCACTTCCAGTCTGGAACGCGAAGTACTGTTCATTGGATGGTCAGAATCGCACGCATCGGCTCGAATCCCTCGCCTCCACCCAAGTGCCTCGAACCCGTCCGTCGTTGAGGCCGACACTCGAATCTCCGCCGTGCCTGCATATTACCGCTTCACCGTCATCTGAACCGTCAGATTGTTTTCCCGTCAGTAGTTGAGGCCGACGCTCGGATCTCCACCGTGGCTATATAACTCGCTCTCTCTCCTCGCCGTTTGCTATCAGCTTCGACGGCAGCTTGCGCTCCCGTCCGCCATTCCACAAGGAACGACCGACACAACCACGCGGCAGTGCGAGCCGGCATCGTAACGCAGCGCCACCACCATCGCCTCTCGCCGCGCGTCGCCTTCGCCTTCTTCGATCGCACTTCCCTTGCCGCGCTGCACTCCCCCCCTTGCGCTGCTTCGAGTCGACTCAAACCGCCACCACCATGGCCCCTCGCCGCTCCCCGCCCTCAGCATTGTCGCTTTCCCTTTCCCCTGCTGCGCTGCTCGTTCTAGGCCTGGCTCTTCTCGGCCTTTCCTGGCCGTCCATCGCGTCGTCCCGGCGCGTGCTGCTGCAGGCCGACGGCGCGGCGGCGTTCGGGAGCCGCGTGATTTTCAACTCGATGCAGAACGTGGGCGTGCAGGACGGCGGGGCCATCTCGCTCATGCTCGACCGAACGGGAGGTGCGTTTAAAGGGCAGTGCGGTGAGGGCAGCGCGAGGGGCGTGAGGACATGGAGAAATTTCTACTTCCGACAACTAGTAGTCGCCCTCCCTGCCTTGAGTTCTCTCCTGTGCGCCGGGAGTCCAACACTACACAGTTGTTGGGGGGCATGGGTATGCACGTGATGAGATGCGAAGTATGTGTTGTGAGTGCTATTGAGGAAAGAATATAACATGCATTGTCAAGTGGAGTGACTGAAGCGATGTGGCTCCTGACAAATCCGTCTGATTCACCCCGGTCCTGTGCGGTGCTGTGCTGTGTGTGTGTGCGCATGAGTGGCAGGAGCGGGGTTTGAGTGCAGCGACGCATACAGCTTTGGCACGTTCAGTGTGGAGGCCAAGATGCCTGCCAGCTACTCTGCTGGCGTCTGCGCCACCTACTTCGTACGCCCCTCCCAACCCAACCTGCTGGCTCCTCCCTTCTTACCTCTCGCATTACTGCTCTCTCGCTTTGCTGGCTTTGTGGCAGAACGGTTGCACGTTTGCACGCCCTTACACCTGCATGCTCACATCACACATGACCCATCCACCCCCCTCCCCCACCCCACCAACAGCTGCAGTCAGGGTCATACGAGCAGCGCAACGAGTGGGACTTTGAGTTCCTGGGGTCGCCCAACACGTCCGTCGGCATGACGCTGCAGACCAACGCCTTCATGGGCGGCACGGGCGGCCAGGAGGAGCTGTATGCCTTTGGCTTCGACCCCGCGGCTGACTTCCACACCTACTCCATCCAGTGGGGTCCCGACCAGACCGTGTAAGTACTCACACTCGCTCCCCTGATAGCACCCCCTCCTCTGCTGCTGCCCTCCACACCTACACCATCCAGTGGGGGCCTGACCAGACCGTGTAAGGGCTTGTTTCACACTCCTCTGCTCGCTTTCTTGTGCATCATTCTGATTCTTCTTACATGCGCAAGAGTCAGTGTGATGGATGCTTTCGTGCTTGGGCCGTGCATCTTCTGGTTACTGCTCTGGGCCGTGCATCTTCTGGTTACTGCTCTCGGCTGTGCTCACTCACACAAAGCACGCTCACGTATGCACACATACGCTCACCTGCCTTTTTTTTCATGCCGCTTGTCATTGGCTCCACGCCCAGGTGGCTGGTGGACGGGCAGGTGCGGCGAGTGATGATCAGCGGCAACATTGTGTCTTCTACAGATGCTGCAGCAGTATTTTATCTGCCTACTCGTGGGACCCCATGCAAGTGCACGGCATACGCTCACATAGGTTCACATATCCACACCTGTGTTCCAATACATGCCGCTTGTCCCGTGTCCGTCCAGGTGGCTGGTGGACGGGGAGGTGCGGCGAGTGATGGGCAGCAGCAACCCTGCGTACCCGCGGGACCCCATGCGAGTCTACTTCAGCATCTGGGATGCCTCCACCTGGGCCACCGGACCCAGGACGGCGCGCATCCCCGTCGACTACAGCTATGCTGTGAGCGCCCTATCTGCGCCCTATCTGCGCCCTATCTGCACCCTATCTGCGCCCTATCTGCGCCCTATCTGCGCCCTATCTGCGCCCTACCTTGCGCCCTTCTCCCATGTCTGCGTGCATACTTGCACCTCCTCCTGGCCCACCGGGCCCCAGGATGTGGCGCATCCCTGTTGACACGGGGCTGTGAGCGCCCTTCTCCCATCTCTAGGCTGAACGTGTAGCGTGCATTTGGCCATGGGTCATTTATGAGGTGGGTTCTGATTGGTTCCTCGTGTGTGTGCTGTGCTGCGTGCAGCCGTTTGTGGTGACCTTTAGGAACTTCAAGTACACTGCAGCATGAGCAGCAGCATGAGCAGCAGCATGACTCATGAGTGGTGCCGTGCCGTGTGGAGATGTATGTTACGGTAACCACATGGACGCGCTCGACACACTAGCGGGTGCTGCAGGGGCAGAGCATGGTGTCCTAGCTGATGCTGGCAGTGAGATACTTAATGTACAGTTATATGTATGTAAAACCAAACTATTAGTACTTCTGCGGTTCACAACCAGGGGCAGCTTCCTACCACTTAAAACAAGCCCACCTCGGGGCAAGACTGAAATGTGAACAGAACTGTGTGATTGACGAGAAAGATGGCAGGCTGTCAGGCTTTGAAATGCCTGTAAGCCACGGCTTACAGCACTGGCCCTTCCACTCAGCATTCACTCCTCCCTCCCACCCAGCCTTCACATTCTGGTCCTCTCAGCCTACCTCTCGCCCTCACCCATTTGCACCACTAGCCATGCATCATGTGTTGCAGCAAGCACAGCAATCCCATGTCATGCCTCCTCCACCTCACACGTGCCGCTGCAGTCGCTGCCACCGCTCCTGCCTGTCCCACCTTCCCTGCAGCGCACCCAACCACACACCGCACCATGCACTGCTGCCAGCACACCCGCCTCATATCCCCATTATGCCTCTTCCACACCCCCGTCCCCGCCATCCTCCTCCTCGTGTGCCGGCTGCAGTCGCTGCCACCGCTCCTGCCTGTCCCACCTCCCCTGTAAAGCAGCCAGCCAAGCCCCGTGCCGCTCCCCCACCGCTTTCACTCCCGCATTCTCGTGCTGACAGCGAACACACAAAGAGAAGGTGGGAGCGGGAAGGTGAGGAGGGGGAGGGGGGGAAGGAGAAGGAGGGGAAGGGGGTAGGGTGTGGGCAGTGCAAGTCACGGAAGGCAGAGTGCAGGAAAGGGAGTGGTTCATCTGCCATGCATCCCTCTGCCTTGTGGTGTCACCGTCCAGGAACCACACTACAAGAACAGCCATGCATCTGTGCATGCAGTGCTGAGAGTCTGTATGTGCAAGCAGACATGCATAGCATGTGCACATGCACTCACCAGCAGCGCAGGTGCTCACCTGATGAGGCGAGGGGTGGGGGCAGATGGCAGCGTGCAGGGCACTGGCGAACTGACTGAGGCGAGGGAGAAGAGAGAAGGGAGAGGGAGGACGGCGGAGTGATGCATGGTGACGGCTTCAGTGGTGGGAGGCGGAAGCAAGCACAGCAGGCGGCCACACGGATGGACATGCATGGAGATGTACTCACCACACCGGCACACACAAGTAGCCCCACATCCAGCACAGCACAGCATGGCACGGCACAGCACAGCACAGCACAGCACAGCACAGCACAGCACAGCACAGCACAGCACAGCACAGCACAGCACAGCGCAGCGCAGCCCAGCCCAGCACTGGCACTAGCCAGTCAACCAGAAACAATAGAAGATCCTGTGACAATAGTTACTGGTATGAGCGAAAATGCATGGCCTGTGACATGTAAAGATAGCGCTGAAGGACTTTTGAGTTGACTCAAAAGTGAAATGCATGGCTGTGACATGTAAAGATATGCATGTCCTGTGACATGTAAAAATATGCATGGCCTGTGACATGTAAAGTTAGGCATCGCCTGTGACATGTAAAGTTAGGCATCGCCTGTGACATGTAAAGTTAGGCATCGCCTGTGACATGTAAAAGTAGCGCCGAAGGGCTCGGGGAGGCTGTCAGCAGCAGATGCACCCACTGCATACGATGGCGTCAGCACCTGATGAGGATGACGTCATCATCGCTGACATGGGTTACGGGTATGGTTGCAGCGAAATCTAAGAGTGAATCTGAGGGGGGGATGCAGGGGGAGGATGGGGGGCAAGCATGGATGGAGGCATGGACGGGGGCAGGGAGGAGTTGTGGCCGGTAAGAGTGGGCGGGGGATGAGATAGAGGAAGGAAAAAAAAGGGTTGTGAAAAGAGTTAGAGTGGATGCAGAGGAAGGGGCGGAAGGATGGATGGCGGTTTTGGACCGCGGGGAGAGGCGAGACAAAGATTTGCAGGACATGGGAAGAGAGATGGTTGAAAGAAAGCACTCCTCCTCACACACCTCGTCTGATCCTCACACACCTCGTCTGATCCTCACACACCTCGCCTGATCCTCACACACCTCGTCTGATCCTCACGCTACATGCCCATGCTTCAACTCACCCGATGCCGTCTCTCCTCCCTCCATCCCCTCCCTTACCTCATGCTAACTTTCCCCTCAAACCACAAACACCAATCCGCACCGCATTCCCCTTGTGGTTGTTAGAATTAGCTGCCACTCATTCGCACATACATTTGACATCTGCACCTGACTCAACCCAAACCCAACTACCCCCATGAACCACAGGTATGACCCCCAACCCCATGACATGCGTCAAGCACGACCCTCCCACACCCATGGACCATGACATGAGCACGCTAGCAGTTTTGTAACCCCTTTGTTACCACCGCACCAACAGCGCCATGCCATGCCATGCCGTGACTCACACAAGTTCTCACACATGCCCACTGCCGCCTCTGCCTCTGCTCGCTCCCTCTGCCCCTCCCTTTCTGCCACCTTGTCGCTGCCGCCCCCATGCGGTGCACCCTCCCCAGCTGCGCCCTCCCCAGCTGCGCCCTCCCCAGCTGCACCCTCCCCAGGTGCGGGCGGGAAGGGTCCCTGGTGGCGGATGGCAGAGACAACAAGGTTGAGGAACTGGTGGCGCTGCTCGCCTGGCAGGGTGGGGGGGACGTCGAGGGGTGGGGGGAGGTACGTATGGTATGGCACGCAGTCTTTCGCGTACATATGCTTCCACACATGAGCAATGCTCTAGAGTGGAGAGAGTTGTGGATGCACATGCTGCGGTGAGGTCAGGCGGGAATGGACAGGGTGCAAAGCAGCGTAAACCAGCATCCTGCTTATACAAAGTGGCGAAATTAGCAAGCAAGGACAGCAGTGCCGAGGGGCCAGCAGAGGGGCCAGCAGAGGGGCCAGCAGAGGGGCCAGCAGAGGGGCCAGCAGAGGGAGCAGCAGAGCAGCACACCAGGGCAGAGGTTGGGGTCGAAGCAGTGCAGATTGGCGAACAGCTTCACCAGCAGCACCACACTCTGCCACCCACTCCCCACCACGCCCTCGCCCCCGGCATCTCTACCCGTACCTCCACCCTCTTCCCCCCCTCCCCTTCCCATCCCACTCCTCCCTCCTCCCTGCGCCTTCGCTGCTCCCCCATTCGACGCCCACCCACTCGCCCCGTCTGCCTCTGCTGCTACCCCACCCTCCCCTCCCTCCAACCATATCACCCCCTCCGCCCAGTCACTCTCTTCCTTGCCTTCATCACTCCCTCGCTTCCTTTTCTCACTCTCGTTCTCGCTCTCCTCATTTCTCTTCCTTCCCACCATCTGTTCATCAACTCGGCAAAACTGAAAGTTTCCTCGAAGCTTCCCAACACTTCTGCCATCTCCTGGACCAACCCCCCTTTCTCTACTGCCCCGGCTGCCACTGCGGCTTTTTGACCCAGCTGCCTCCTTATAGGCAGCCCTCGTTACAGCCACAAGCCCTCCCTCAGAATACGAGAACGGGCCAGAAGAAAGTGTCTCTGTCGAATCCTCCACACCGCTCAACCCACATTTGCCACTCCCCACCCCTTCACCCCCCTTCCTTTTCTCCTCCCCATGGCCGGGCACAGCAGGAGCGACAGCACAGGTGCGGTGCAAGGGTGAGGAGCAGCGGTTGAGGGAGTGTGAGCGTGAGTGGGTGAGATGGAGGGCGAGGCCGAGAGAAGGGAAGGGGCGGAAGAGGACGAAGGCGTCGGCCTCTCGGGCCACAATTGCCCGCGTGAGTGGCCCGTATAGCCAGCGTGAGGCAAAGGCAGGCGACGGGAGGGCGAGCAGATGCACGAGAAGAGGCGCCTGGAGGGGAGGGGATGTGGTTCAAGAGGAGCAGAGAGAGACATGCAGAGAGGGAGTGAATACATGCGGTGTGCATAAGGGCATGAGAGCGGGCCGTGCAGCCAGCGCTGAGAGATGGGCGAATAGAAAGGTGAGAGAGGCGGAGGAAGGGAGAGGCAAGTGGTGGAGGGAGGTGCAAGAGAAAGGGACATGCACAGTGATGGGGTGAAAAGCAGAGCTCGCCGAGGAGTTTGCTTAGTGTTGCAGCAGCTGAGCCACTCACAGCACATTTGCTAGGGTGTGCGTGCACATGAGCATGGGAAGGTGTGAAGTGGAGCAGAGGCAGAGTCTGGGAGCAGAACCAGTTGCATTAGAGTTGCTCAGGTGTGAACGCATGGCGTGAAGCATGAAGCAAAGACACACACTGGGGTACAGGTGAAAGGCTGAGGTGTCTAGTGCACAAGGCATGGGAATGTGAGTGAGGGGTAGCATGGGAATAAGGTGGCAGGTGAGCATGGCAACGCACGGCATGCAGCATGAAAAAGGGGCGGAAGCTGGAGTCGTCTGAAAGCACCTCTGCCGCCCGCAGCACGTTGACACTCAGCCGACCACAGGGGAGAGGCGCGTGTGGTGGGGGAAAGGAGGTGGAAGAGGAGGAGGGCGTGTGGTGGGAGAGGAGGCGGGCTGTGAGGTCAACGTTGGCGATGGCCGTGGCGTGCAGGAGAGAGAGGATCTGGGGGGAGGGAGTGGACACGGGTGTTGGGGCGGGTTGAGGAGTGTATGGGAAGAGAGTGCAGAAGATGCAGGTGAGTGGCGTGTGACGGAGGGCATGTGAATGAAGCATCTGAGAGTGGTACAGGCAGGCAAACGGTGGTTGAAGCATGAAAGCAGCGAAAAGAGCTGTGCTCTCTTGTGAACAGACAGAGTGACAAGCACGATACCTCTTTTGTTACACAGTGCGCCAGCTGTAACGAGGCTGGATTGGCTGCCACGTCATCAAGAAAGGTGGAGCCGTCCGCCTCACTGACTGTAAGGAACTGCCATGGGCGGAGGGGAATGAGTGAGGGAGGGAGTGAAGGAGGGAGTGAGGAAGGTGACATGAGGGGAGATGGGAGGAAGTGAGGGACGCAGGAAGGCATGGTTTTGACAGAAAGTTCAATGAACATGAGTGTGCCTGGAACTTGTAAGATGGAAAGAGAAGAGAAGAGAAGATGCGGAATAGAATCACCAAAAAGCACCCCAAGATTCACATTTTGAGTCGACTCAAAAGCACCCCAAGATTCACATTTTGAGTCGACTCAAAAGCACCCCAAGATTCACATTTTGAGTCGACTCAAAAGCACCCCAAGATTCACATTTTGAGTCGACTCAAAAGCACCCCAAGATTCACATTTTGAGTCGACTCAAAAGCACCCCAAGATTCACATTTTGAGTCGACTCAAAAGCACCCCAAGATTCACATTTTGAGTCGACTCAAAAGCACCCCAAGATTCACATTTTGAGTCGACTCAAAAGCACCCCAAGATTCACATTTTGAGTCGACTCAAAAGCACCCCAAGATTCACATTTTGAGTCGACTCAAAAGCACCCCAAGATTCACATTTTGAGTCGACTCAAAAGCACCCCAAGATTCACATTTTGAGTCGACTCAAAAGCACCCCAAGATTCACAGCACAGTCAACCGCAGCGGAAACACGAGACACACCATCTGAATGGCTCGGCTCTTGCAGCGAGAAATAGCCGCCACCAGGGCCTCTGGCGGCACGGCTTGGAGTGACGGGCCATCGGAGGGGGAGGCGGAGGGAAGGGGAGACGAGATGGAGGAATGAGTGGGGTTGGAAGGCGGGCAGGGGAGAGGGGGGAGAGGCAGAGGGAGGAGGGCGGGGAGGGGCAAGCGGAGGACAGCGAGGAGCAGGCGAAGGAAAGCCCCGCCCTGGATGAGGTCCTGATGAGGGAAGGGAGTGGAGGAAAGGAGAGGGGAGCAGATGGATAGGGGGAAAATGTGGTGGTTTCAGGATGAGTGCACGTAGGGGAAAATGTGGGCCAATAGTTGGGTTGCATAGGCACAGCAAGCCATGTGCACATGGCGCAGATCAACGGACACGGAGTGAGCACATTCCGCACGTGTGGCCAAGATTGGGAGCCTACTAATAGCCTCTGACCTCTACACCCTGGTACCACTCCGCATCGCAGTTGCGCACCTACTGGCAACGCCTCAAGACACACGCACCTGGTGGTGCAGCAGCAGGGCGCCCAGCCCATCGGTGCGACACAGCACGTGCAGCACCTGCAGAGCCACCTCGCACTGCCGCACCACCCCCTGCACCGAGCCCCAGTCCACACCGCCCTCTTGCCATGCCCTCCCTTCATCCCCGCCCGCATCCCTCCCCCCATCCCTCTTCCCATCCCTCCCCCCATCCCTCCCCCCATTTCTCCCCCCATTCCTCCCCCCAACCCTCCTCCCATTACTCTCCACATTCCTCCCCACATCCCTCCCTCCAGCCACCCTCCTGCCTGCATGTGTGAAGGCGGAAAGGGATGGCGACAGCAGGGAGTGCAGCAGGAGGAAGGCGGTGGTGACGGCTGAGAAGGCCGCCGGCAGGAAGGCCGCCACCTGGGTGGGGCAGGTGGAAGGATGGATGGGGCAAGGGTGGATGGGTGCATTGGTGGATGGGTGCATTGGTGGATGGGTGCATTGGTGGATGGGTGCATTGGTGGCAGGGAGGGATGGGTAGGTGCATGGGTGGAAGGATGGATGGGTGCACGGGGCGAGGGACAGAGAGGATCGCAAAGGGAGCATGGGGACGAATGGGGCGTAGGGTGTGAAAGAGGTCATAGGAGCAGAGGGAGCACGGGGACGAGGGGAGCATGGGGAGGAGGGGAGCATGGGGACGAGGGGAGCATGGGGATGAGGGGAGCATGGGGACGAGGGGAGCATGGGAGCAGAGGGAGTGCAGGGCGAGCAGCGCACCAGGGGGTGCAGGGCGAGCACGGAGCAAGTGTCGATCCAGTCAGGGGTGACGAAGGCGGGCAGCAGGTACAGGCACGATGCCACCGTTCCCGCATACAGTGCTGCTCCCCCCACTGCCGCCTCCCCCACTGCCGCCTCCCCCACTGCCGCCTCCCCCACTGCCGCATTTTTAAGTGCTGCATCTCCCGATGCTGCCTCCCTACTTCCAACGTTCTCCCCTCCTGCCTCTCCTCCCATTGTGCATGCCTCATCACCCTTGCCTGCCGCACCATCTGCCCTCGCTGCCTCACCATCTGCCCTCGCTGCCTCACCATCTGCCCTCGCTGCCTCACCATCTGCCCTCGCTGCCTCACCTGCCCTTGCTTTACCACCTGCACTCGTCACTGCATCCACACCTCTTGCCTCCTGCATGTCACTACTGCCAGCCACAACCCCCATGCTATTCTGTGCATCCCCCCCAGTGCCCTCCCCACACTTGTTGCCTGTGCCTGCTTCGCCTTCCCTTGCAGCAGCAGCTGACCCATCACCCCCCTGCCCTCCACTACCGTCAGGAGCAGCCCTGTGGGTATTAGCACCACCAGCACCGCCACCAGCACCGCCACCAGCACCACCAGCACCACCAGCACCACCAGCACCACCAGCATCACCAGCACTTGTGGCAGCACCACCACAGCCTGCCACCTGTGCCTGCTCGCACCCCCTTACTCCCATGCCTCCTACTCCTACTGCTGCTGCTTCCACCCTTCCACCATCATCCATCCCATGCCCCTCACCGTCTCTGCTGCTGCCACTCCCTGCACCACCTTGGTCGTTCCTGCCACCACCACCATTGCTGCCACCACCACTGCCATCGCCACACTTCATTCCTCCCCCCCTGCCCCCCACATCCAGTTGCTGCCACGGGGGACAGGAGGGGGAAGACAGAGCGACACGAAAGAGTGCGGCATGAGAGAGCGTGGCATGACGAGTTGTAGATTGCATAACAGAACAGTTCAGACTATCATGAGAGAGGGGAGGGGAGGTTCCTTTGCAAGCACATGGATTATCGGGTGGTTGGCAGGCAGCATAGGAAGAGCGGAAAGGGAGCGTCGTGTGACGGAGCAAGCGCTTGGGGAGCTGGCAGGGGAGTTGAAGCGGAAGCGACGAGAGGGAGAAACCAGCGGCCTTCACATGAAGGCTTGTGAAAGGGAGCAGCATGGGCATGATTGTGAAAGGGAGCAGCATGGGCATGATTGTAAAAGGGAGCAGCATGGGCATGATTGTGAAAGGGAGCAGCATGGGCAGTACTTTCAGGATTGGGAGAAGCATGTGTTTGTGCTGCTGTGTGGCATGGCTGGCAGTTACTGACATGTACCCACTGGGTGCGACAGCATGCCTGGCTGGTACCCACTGGGTGCGACAGCATGCCTGGCTGGTACCCACCTGGTGTGGCGCAGCGAGGGCGACTGTAAGCAGCACGACCAGGTCCAGCATGTGCCGCCGCACACTCGAGCTCACCAAGAGCACCTGGGGAGTGGAAGGGGGTGGTGTGAGTGAGGGTAGGGGACTCACGGGCAGGACAGGGGCACACAAGGGTGGGTGTCAGGTTGAGACCGAAGCGGGGTTTAGATGGCCAACCATACCGCACCCCAGTGCACCACATCGCACCACATGCATGCAACTGGACATAGAATGGGCTGCTCTCTTTTGCATACTAACACTGCATGAGTATTGGTACGTCCAGTGCACATGGCAAGAACCAAAGACCTGACAAGATAGGTCAGGCAAGGAAATTTGCAGATTTACCAGCACCATGAGGAGATTGGCAGCACAGAACAGGGCAGGTCACAGTTGAATGGCCACCAAACATGCCTGCACATGCCTGCACATGCCTGCACATGCCCACACATGCCCACATGCAGGTTCATGCACACACAGACACAGACACACACACACACACAGACACACACACACACACACACACACACACAGACAGACACAGACACACACACACACACACACAGACACACAGACACACAGACACACACACACACAGACACAGACACACACACACACACACGCACACACACACACACACACACACACACACACACACACACACATGGTGCAGGCGGGGCATGTGGTTAGCGAGGTCGCACAGCGAGTGCAGCAGGCGCACCCCCTTGGCCACGTGCGTCAGCCACACCTCCCCTCCTCTCTCGCCTCCCAGCCCCACCTCAAAAGCCATCCCACACCGCTCCCTTGCAGCCATCCCATCTCCCTTCTCCCTCCCGTCTTCCAGCCTGTTCCCCTGGCCCTCTACTCTCCTCGTCTTCCTGTTCTTCTGCTCCCCTCCCTCCCCCGGCTCCACTCCACACCTTCTCTTCTCGCCTCTCCTCTCTCCCTCCTCCTCCCCGCCTTCAACCCGCTCCGCTCTATTCCCTCCCCCATCGTGCTCCACTTGTCTCAAAAGCCACCCCACTGTAGCTGTGCTGCTACTGCTGATGGTGAAAACACCGTCCTTCACACTCACACCACTCACCCCGTCAACAGCCCTCCCCTCCACCTCCGCACTCTCCTGTTTCTGCCTCTCTCTGCCTGCATCCACCTTCCCTTCCATCCTCCCCCTCGCCCCTCCCTCCCGATCACCCCCCTCCTCGCCTCCCCTCCCCTCTCCACTCCCGCACTGCACACCAGATCTCACATCCTCCCTCTCACCCCCTTCATCACCTCCTCCCCCCTCCCCTTTCCCACCTTCCTCACCCTCAACACTCCCCACGCCACCCCCAACCTTTCTCCCCTTCTCTCCACTACCGTCGCCACCACTCCCTCCTGCGTCCCCTTGAAACACCTCCCCACCACCAGTGCCTACCACAAGCGTGTGCCCGCCCTGCTGCTGCCCCCACCACGCCACTCTAGCCACCCGCGTCCCGTGCCGGATGGTCACTGCCAGGGGGGCGCTGCCACACACAGGAGGCTGGAAGGAGCCATTGGTGGGTGACTTGATGTGGGGTGCGGTTGGTTGGGGTGCGGATGACTGCGTCTGGGGTGCGGTTGGTTGCGGTGCAGATGGTTGGGTCAGGTGGGTGGATGGGGGGGAGGGGCTAGCAGCAGGGGCTGTAGCAGTGGGGGCTGTAGCAGTGGTGGCTGTAGCAGTGGTGGCAGTAACAATGGGGGCTGTAGCAGTGTGGGCTGTAGCAATGGGGGCTGTGGCAGTAGGGGTTGTGGCAGTGGTGTGAGCGGTGTTGTCTGTGTTAGCACAAACCACAGCAGAAGGTTCCGCTGTTGCAGCTCCAATAGCAGCAGCTGTTACTTCTTTGGCAGCAGCAACTGTTATTACATCTTTCACAGCTGCACCACCACCTCCCGTTTCATCTTCGGAAGCACCACCTCCCATTTCATCTTTGGCAGCACCACCTCCTGTTTCAACTTCGGCAGCACCACATCCCGTTTCATCTTTGGCAGCACCACCTCCCGTTTCATCTTTGGCAGCACCACCTCCCATTTCATCGTTGGCAGCATCATCTCCTGTCACATCATGGGTAACAGCAGCAGGCACTGCAATATCTTCAGCACCCGTGATTGCAGAAAAGTCTCTCTCCCCAGACATACAAGCCGCAACATGTACACCTCTAAGTGGAGGAGAAGAAAGTACGGTTACATCTCTAAGAGCTGCAGCAGAAGCAGGTGCAACTGCTGTTACATCTCTGGCACCACCACCACCAACACCACCACGACCAGCAGTAGATACATCACTCGCTTGCTTGGGCTGCCTCTGCTCGCACTCCTCCCCACCCTCTGTCCGACTGCACGGCTCCTCCTTCCCCTCTCTCTCACCCTCGCCTGCTCGCCCCTGCTTTCTCTCCGCCTCCAATGTCGCTTCTCCCGCCCCTCCCATCACATGACCTGCTGCCTTCCCTTCACCCACAGCACACCCCTCGCCCTGTGCCTGCCTCCATGCACGCTCCCCACCCTCTGTCCGACTGCACGGCTCCTCCTGCTTACTGTCTGCCTCCACCATTGCCTCTCCCCTCCCTCTGATTCTCGTCCCTCCCATCACACGCCCTTCTGTCTTCCCTTCACCCACTTCTGCACTCCCCATCCCCCTTCCCCCCATCCCTCCTCCCCCAATCCCGCCTCCCCCCATCCCGCCTGCCTCCCCTCCCTGGGCCACCACCTCTCCACGCCCCCCTTCCGCCCCCTCCAGCCGCGCCCGCTTCGCCCGAGGGAGGTCGCCGTGAGAGTGGCAGGGAGGGCTGGCGGAGGGACGAGGAGACGGGGGAGTGTGTGCGGGGGCGTTGGGGGGAGGAGGATCGGGCGAGCGGGCGTGTTGCAGGGCGAGGGCAGCGCAGGAGAGGAGGTGGAGAGGCAGTGATGCTGCGAGGAGAGGCAGATCCACCTGATGTGTGTGCTCTCATGATGGCATGACGGGCATGCATGCCCATGGATGGCACGCATGCATTCCAATCCACACATGCATTCCAATCCACACATGCATTCCAATCCACACATGCATTCCAATCCACACATGCATTCCAATCCACACATGCATTCCAATCCACACATGCATTCCAATCCACACATGCATTCCAATCCACACATGCATTCCAATCCACACATGCATTCCAATCCACACATGCATTCCAATCCACACATGCATTCCAATCCACACATGCATTCCAATCCACACATGCATTCCAATCCACACATGCATTCCAATCCACACATGCATTCCAATCCACACATGCATTCCAATCCACACATGCATTCCAGGCCATCCACCCGGCCATGTACATGGATCAAATGCCCATGCACGCGTACAACCCATCCCATGTGATCACATGTGCATGTGTGCATTCACACGTGCAACCGTGTGTGCATGCATGCACCAGCACCCGTTCATATCCACACAAGTATGTGGCACGCACACATGCAATAATGAGCTCAGGTACAGATGACTTGCCCGCAAGCATGCACACACATGCGCATATGGACATGCGTGCGAGGAAGGCACAAGAGAATGGAGTGGGGTGAGAAAAGAACCTAAAGAATGACTTTTCAGTCCACTTAACAGAAGGGAGCGGGGTGCGTAGTGAATCCAGGGGGCGACAGTTAGGCGCCAAGAAAGCGTGGAGGAAGTGTTGGAGGGGAAGGGACGGGGAAGGAAGCGACGGGGAAAGGAAGGAAAGGGGCAAGGCCGAGGCGCCTACTTGAGTGCTCACGCCGCTGCGCTTGTCCCACAAGCGAATGGGCGGCAAGTCCACCGGCGGTTTGTGCTGACGTGGCAAGCTATCTGTCTGACGTGGCAAGCTATCCGTCCAACGTGGCGCATCTCGCAGCGCATACTGCACGAGCGCCATGAGGTCGTTGGAGCTCATCGCGTGCAGCTCCTCCACGGCGAACCCCACGTTGCACACGCCGCGTCGAGCCTCGCCACTCACCGCGCCGCCTCCGCCGCCTCCGCCGCCTCCGTCGCTGCTGCCGTTGCCGCCGCCGCTCATGGCTGCGCAGCGCACTCGCCGCTGTTACCAAGATGCGAGTTGTGGGCAAGGGCGGTGGTGGAACACTGTTCGGGGTGGAAGGGCGTGCGACGAACTCTCACAGCTCCATCGAGCGCTAGAGCGCGGAACACTTGACGCATTTCGGAGATCGAGTCGTTAAAGCCAGTGTACACGTAAAACACGGCTCAAGAAAAAGTTTTGGGCGGCAAATCACACGAAACGAAATGGAAGGGGGGGGCTATCTTTGGTGGGAGTTGGGACTTGACAAGCGCGAAATCTGGGGGAAAGGGGAAGGGGGATCTACTGACGAGGGAGGGGGAAAGGGGGATCAAGGAACCGAAATGTCGGGGAGGTGGTCAATCGAAATTGTGGGGGAAGGGGGGGAGGGGGGGAAACAAATGTTTGGGGGGGTTGGGTGGGGAGAATGAAACTAGGTCGCGGTTCTGGGCGAAGTCTGGACATGACCCTCAATGACGTGTAAACACACCCGATCATTGGTCACCACACAGGGTTCCAGATATCTTGGAGCATGGACACCAATGAGACGTGCACATTGCTACCAAATTGTCCACACTTAAGATGGTGTCCAAACTTCAGAACCGAGATCTGACGTGGGGGGAGGCAAAGTGGAACAAATCTGCAGTACACACAAAAACTCCATCTTCAAATGTTATCAGGGAGGGCGGAGTCTGACTACCCAGATCGGGAAAAAAAAAACCCTGAAACTGTGGAAGTTGTGATTGCACAGTTGAACGTTTTGAACGTTTACGAGGGAACCCTAAGTCACATCCCCGTAAATGTCCACCGCTCTGGGTGTACCCATAATTACTTCAATCAAGTGTTTCATCTACTGCTAAGAGCCTTCCTCCCATTTCTTATGCCTTTCCCTTCCATCCGACCCTCCCTTCCCATATAATCGGCGAAATGGTCTAGTGGTTGGGATTCTGACAATTATCAAACATCTGTTACAAAGGCTGATGTGGCATCCCACAACTACCTACAGAAATTGGCACAATGTGCAAACCTTGTATTCGTAACTGTTTGTGATTTCAAGCGATTTCCCAGCTGCTGCCTGAAATTGGGAGAGGAAGGGCGGGAAAACCGGGTTAGAAGTGTCAGAGGTCCACTGGTGATCCCCGATTGATCCTAGGGAAGGGTTACAGGCTCGTTGTCCTGGGGGGTTATGGGCGCACTGACCCGCTACTTAACAAGCTCTTTTATCCCAATGGTCTAGTGGTTGGGATTCTGACATGGTATCAGAGCGGTCTCAGGTTCGAATCCCAGTGTATGCACTTCGGGCTTCCCAGTGCGGGGGGGTGTCAGAGGTCCACTGGTGATCCCCGATTGATCCTAGGGAAGGGTTACAGGCTCGTTGTCCTGGGGGGTTATGGCCGCACTGACCCGCTACTTAACAAGTCATTTTATCCCAATGGTCTAGTGGTTGGGATTCTGACAAGGAGGGGGGGGCGCGCAAACGCGGTCCATGGAATTTAGAGAGACGCCGACGTGACAAGGTCGCGATAATTAGGGTCGATGCAATTAAGAGAAACAAGATTTCCGCCTATGCGCGTCATTTCGCCCATCTAATCGTTCAAAACCAACTCGCACCCGACTCGAATTCTGTTGAGCTATTCGCCACTCATGACTCGGCTTAGCAAAGAGCATTGCCTTCAAGCAGTGAGCAGAGCAGAACAAACGATACATATATGCATCATTGTGTGAGATAGGAGCTCCGTCAGGATAATGTTACCTATCTCGTTGGACCGATAAAATCCTCGCACAATAGCGTTTTTTCGGCAGACATTAGCTCAAAATCACCTAAATCGTCCGTCTTTTACTAGTTGCCATGCCTCCCATGCCTCCGTCATACCTCAACATCTTGTCAGATGACCTCCTCGTTTACATCTTCTGGCACTCCAAGAACGATGTTCCAGTTCGCCGCCAATCGATAGACCGTAGATTTCATCCATCGGTTTACATCATGTCTCGACCAAGGTACTCCTCTGAAAGCCCATACGGTGACGACCTCAGCACCTTTGAAGCATCTTCGTCCCTGTCCTCCCTGCAACGGAACGACGATAATATTACTGTGACTGCTACGAATAATAATAGTACTTCACCGTTGTCAGCTCCCATCGTTCTTACAGATCCCGCCTACCACCTTCTCATCGCATCCGTTTGCAAGCGCTGGCGTCGCCTGGCTCGCCGTCAGGTCTCAATGCTTCTCGTGAAGGAAAACATCGTCGCATCGCTTCGAGATCTCACCGCTGCCATCAAGTGCTTCCCGAACCTCTCTCATCTACACCTCAGCGACAACAGCGCGGAAACCATCAACGACGCGCTCCTTGATTTCCTCGCTTCCGCATGCCCTAAACGGGTGTCGCTGCACGTGGGGAAAGAGATCACGCCGACGGCGGAACATGAGTGTGAGGACAAGCACCCGCTGACCGAGGCTGGTTTGGACCGCTTCCTGTGTCGCTGCACTCAGCTGCAACACCTCTCTCTCTACTGCCTGCATCGGTACTGCAAGATGCCGAAGTCTCTCTCACTCCTTACGAACCTACACACCCTCGCTCTTATCGAAGCCTCACCTCTCGAGGCTCAAGGATTCACGAAATTGACTTCTCTTGTAACGCATCGCCTTCCTACCCTAACAAGCCTAGCCATGACTCTCTAAAGCGCTACCTACGTAAGGTAGCGACTTACGGGAAGAGAAGGTTGGAGGAGGTGATTGGTGATTGGTCCACAATTGTGGACCACCACCCACTAAAAGACAAACGTGATTGGGAACCAACCCAACCTCCACATTGGTTGGAATTCCAACCAATAGCAAGTGAACATTTATGTTACAAGTTACAATATGTAACAAAACAATCCTTATCACAATTGTGTTGCTCTCATTGGTTGCAAATCCAACCATTGTGCCACCTAAGCAAACTCACCCCTAGAAGCTCCTTGCCCTTGTTGCCATGGAGGAAGTGGAGCTCCCCAAGGAGGTCTAGGAGGGGTGTGAGCCAACCAGGCTCATTCTCAACTCCCACTTCCAATTAACCAAAAATGGAAATGGGATTTTCTCTCTATGTACAAGATTTCTCCCTCACAAGTGCTCTAGCCTTCAACTACTCTCTTGGTGAAGCTACTCCATCACTCTTAGAGCTTCAACTACCAAGCCTTCAAGGCCCAAGGCTAGCTTAGGGACTATTTTATCTTGTATGTGCTTGTTGTTGGCATTTTATAAGCCTTCTATAGACCCTTTTGTGGGCATTTGCTATAAGCCCGGGTCTTTATTGTGATTTTAAGGGCGTTTTCTCTATAAGCCCGTGTTACATTTGGCATTCAGAGCTTTGGTTATCCTTGGCCCTGTGTGGCTAACTAGATTTTTTTAAAGAGTTTCTAGCTCTTAGATCTAGAATAGCCTCAAGCTCTTTTAAGAAGAGTTGAGAAACTCCCAAGATCAAGAAATCTTCTTCAAGGATCCTAAGATCTAAAAGCTCTTTGAGCTTTAAGAGAATTTATTTCCTGCCCACCTTCTTGGTGGAAGACTCATAGCTATTTTTTCAATAGCAGAGTGATACAGATCTAAGAGATTTGTTAAAAGATTCCTCTTAACTTGCTCCTTGAGCAGTTTGGGGAACTTTCTATATTTCCTTCTTGAAATAGAAGATTTATTTAACTATTTTTCTGTACCTTTCTCTTTGTGAGAATATTGATCTATATAAAAGATTTCTGAAAGATTTCAGAATCTCTTGCCTATCACCTTGAGTGTTAGATGACCCTTATTAAGATCACATTTCTTAACAAAGAAGAAACACTCTCCTTAAGCTCCATCTTAACAACTCCTCTATGGCTACTCCTCATGAGGAAGCATCAAAGGAGGATGTCCCTATGACCTCAGTGGATGAACTGGAAGACTTTCCTGATCTTGACCTTAATGCTGAGGACGTCATCGGGGACCTTCCTGTGGAAGAGGAAGAAGCATTGGGAAACCAGGAGGAGAATGGAGAACAGGAAGGGCTTGATGATCTCGGCTCGGATGATAACTTTCCGGAGGAGTTTGAAAAACTTCAATCCACGGTGGCCGAGCAAGCATCTTCCTTGCTGCAGCAGAAACGACGGGTTAGTGAGCTTGAGACTCAGCTTGCTGAGCAGAATGCCTCAATGGACACAATCAAAGCTCAGCTTAACAAAGTCACTGCCGAGGCTCGTCAATTTAAGAGATCTCTTGGCCTCAAGGCCAACCAGATCAAGAGCCTTGAGGATACTTTGCAGCAGCTCAATGCTACGTGCATTAACCTTGAATCGACCTGCACGACGCTGCAAGGGCAGTATAGGGAGCTCAGGAGAGGCGGGATTTATCGCCCCCCTCCTAGCAATGGCCAGCCTTCTACTTCTGCCGGAGCTCCAACAGAGCAGCCGATGTCGCCTGACGCACCCGCATTTGGGTCGCTCCCCACTGCCTTGCCAAACTTCATTCATGGCAAGACGAACGTGGAATCCTGGCTTCATCACGAGGAGGAATTCCTTTCCATCCACAACGTGCGCCCCGATGCACGCGTCATTGCAGCTACAGGTGCTCTCGATGAGACTGCTCGTAACATAGTCTACAGCACTATGAAGCTTGCCAGGGCAACGTCGACCACCTTCGGATGGTCCGATTTTTGCAGCGCGATGAAAGACGCTTTCCATGTGCAAAAGACTAACCTGGAAGTGCGCAGCCGCATCAAGAGCATGCAGTGTGGAACTCGCACAGTGCAGGAGTATGCCAACGAGTTCGAACGGATTATGTTACTCCTGACAGTCGCTCTCACTGAGAACGAGGCAATGTCGTCGTTCTATGAAGGCTTGCTCCAGTGGCTTCGCGAGAGGCTCGTGCTGGGCACGAACCAGTACACTACGTACAAGGAGCTTAAGACAGCTGTCATTGATCTTGACGTGAGCGTCCGCACCTGCCTTAATGCCGCCAAGGGTCACTTGCAGAGCGGGGTGAAGGCCCTAGTGGCCAGAACAATGCGGCGCATCCTCCTAATGGAAAGGGCCCTTAGAAGAAGAGGCCTTTCCATCCGCAGAGCCAGCAGAATGGGCCACAGCCTAAGAGGCCTTTCACAAGGGTGGCCAGCAGAGGAACGAAACTCCCTTTTGC